TTGTAAGTAATTTAGCTTCTTCGTACAGGGTTTTCTGGATAGGATTTGAAATTGTAAACATGAGTTCCTCATCCAGTAGTACTTCTAATATCAGTGATATGTCAAGTGAAGATTTGGACGAGTTTTTGGCCGAAGAATTGGAGGAGTCGTTTGATTTTCAGGGATATCAATTCCAGCCAATTCGTCGTCATTCATTAAGTGAGGAAGAAGATTCGGATAGCAACTCTTCCAGTTCTTCAATTGAGGCTGTGAATCTCCGACTACAGAATTTAGATTGGTATCTATAGAGTGACTTTATTTATATATTATTATTTCAGGTCATTCAATTAAAGGTATWATTGTAGACTTTCGCCTTGTGATTATTCTTTAGGTGTACGTGCGAGCATTGCCAATTAATGGATCGAGATGTTGAGTGTATTTGTTGTCATGAAGTACCTCAAACAATAAGCAAAAACCAGCAAGTTTTCGAAGAGGAAAATCTTAGCGAGCCAATTTCTTGTATTACCAATAATCCTGGTTTCAAGGCAGTCTGTTTAAATCGATGGGTACTGCGGGAAGCTGCATGGTTTCAGTATTGACAGTATTATGGCAATAAGGCTTACCAAGGTCCTGAACATAAGAGAAATCGACACATTGCATATAGGCAGTTGGTTCGATGGTGCTGGGGCGTTTTAGGTTAAGAAATCAGGGTGGTTTTACCTTCATGTGCAGTGATGTGTATTCGTGCCCATTTCCCACCACCTGGCCTTGAGGAAGATTTTGAGTACACTGGTTTTYTTTATGCTGATACTAATATATTCTGGAGCTAGACCATGAAGAGCTTTGTAGACAATTAGAAGTATCTTGTAGATAATTCTCTTCTTGATGGGGAGCCAGTGGAGTTTTCTTAGAACTGGTGTAATATGCTCACATCTTTTGGTTCGAAATACTATTCTCGCTACAGAGTTTTGAACTCTTTGAATCTTGGATAACTCTTTATCAGAAAGCCCGTAGAGCATGCTGTTACACTGGTCCAGTTTTGACGTTATTAAAGCGTGGACAMGTTTCTCAGTGCTCGGATCATCGAGATACCGTCTGACTTGACCTACACGCCTAAGCGAGAAAGATGCCGATTTACAGAGTTGGTTTACATGCAAGTTCATTGTAAGATGACTGTCCAGAGTAACACCAAGGTTACGCACTGAAGACGTAGGTGCTTCCTCAGATTCACCAATGTTTATGTGTGGTAGAAGATCATGTTTCTGGAATCATGATGAAAACTGGAAAACATCGGTCTTGGATTCATTACATACTAAGTTGTTAGCTGCCATCCAGTGGAAGATAGATGCGATGCATTGCTGTAGGTGAGCAATATCATTATCTAGGTGTTGAGACTTCTCTAGTGTTACATACAGTTGTGTATCGTCGGCATAGATAGCACAGTTGAGACCGTGACTTTCGATGATATCTTTRATAGGTGCGACATAGAGTGAGAAAAGGGGTGGACCGAGGACCGAGCCTTGTGGTATACCTCGAGATAAAGATCGTTGTACTGATGTCGTTTGTCCAATCTTCACTGATAGTTTTCGTCCACTTATATAAAAATTGATCCACTCTAAAGCCAAACCATGGATACCATACCGAACCTGGAGTCGCTTCAAGAGAATTTGGTGATCAATCATGTCGAATGCGGAACTTAATTCCAGCAAGACCAGAATGACGTCATGATTATAGTCAAGCGCTATGCTAATATCGTTATGTACACGTAACAGTGCTGTTTCAGTGCTGTGATTTGGTCTATAAGCAGACTGCATTCAAGCATAGAGTCCGTTTTCTTGCAAGTACTGATTTAGTTGTTTAGATACAATGCGTTCTGTTGTCTTCTGTTGTCGACAAGAAAGATAAGTTGGTAATAGGACGATAATTCTTGAGGTTTTCAGGATCAGAATTTTTCTTTTTGATGATGGGAGTAACCAATCCGTGCTTAAAATGCAAAGGAAATAGACCAGTCATAAGTGATGAGTTAACGATCGAGGTGATAGAATCAACTAAGACATCAATGCATTTCTTTAGAAGGACTGTAGGTATTGGTCCAGCGAGCAGGATTTAGTGCCTACAGTCCTTCTAAATAAATGATGTAGACCTTTTAAGATCTGACGGATTTAACCTCCCCCTCAAACAATTAGAATTTTGGACCAAAAAATCTTCTCGAAGAAAAAGTAAGAAAAATCTTAAAACTGCTTTTCGTTTTGGAGCCGATTGTTGTTCCATATGATCGACGTCACACTCAAAAGCTCTAAATATGAGCGAGTTTGAGGGAATGTGCGATACATTGACAATATATATATATAATACAGTTATACAAATATCTAATTTATTCAGTATATT